ATCTCAGAGAATTCAGCTTTCAGTCTCCTCTGTGAGAAACATGAGAAAATGGAGGACCACAGGCGCAGTTCAAGTCAAGGATCGAAGTGGCAGACCAAGAAAAATCTCCAATAAAAAGAAGTGAAGGATGTTGAGAACAGTCAGAGTCAACCCACAGACCAGCACCAAAGACCTACAACTTCATCTTGCTGCTGATGGAGTCACTGTGCATCGTTCAACTATTCAGCACACTGTACACAAGGAGATGCTGTATGTGAGAGTGATGCAGAGGAAGCTTTTCTCTGCCCACATCACAAACAGAGCAGCTTGAGGTATGCTAAAGCACATTTGGACAAGCCAGCTTCATTTTGGAATAAGGTGCTGTGGACTGATGAATCTAAAATAGAGTTATTTGGGCAGAACAAGGACCGTTATGCATGGAGGAAGAAGATAGCACTCCAAGAAAAACATGCGCTACCTACAGTGAAATTTGGTGGTGGTTCCATCATGCTGTGGGGCTGTGTGGCCAGTACAGGGACTGGGAATCCTGTTAAAGTTGAGGGACGCATGTATTCCAATCAATATCAGCAGATTCTGGAGACCAATGTCCAGGAATCAGTGACAGAGCTGAAACTGTGCCGGAGCTGGCTCTTCCAACAAGACAACAACCCTAAACAGTGCTAAAAATCTACTAAAGGCATTCATGCAGAGGAACAAGTACAACGTTCTGGAATGACCATCTCAGTCCTCAGACCTGAATATTATTGAAAATCTGTGGTGTCACTTAAAGAGAGCTGTTCATTCTCAGAAACCATCAAACCTGAATGAACTAGAGATGTTTTGTAAAGAAGAATGGTCAAAAAAACCTTCAGCCACAATCCAGACTCTCATTAGAAGCTATAGAAAGCATTTAGAGGCTGTTATTTCTGTGAAAGGAGGAGCTACTAAATATTGAGGTAAGCTTTTTTTATGATGCCTAAATTTATGCACCTGCCTAATTTTGTTTAAACAATAATTGCACACTTTCTGTAAATCCTATAAACTTCATTTCACTTCTCAAATTTCACTGTGTTTGTCCCCTATATGATATATTTCACTGATTTTTTTATCCAAACATTCAATGTTTTATAAAGGTAAATCAGGAAAATTAACAAGGCTGCCCAACTTTTGCACCCCACTGTAAATCAGGGTTGTGTTCATTTGAAATAAATGAGAAGCTCAGAAGACAGAGAGAGGTTGTTTTGCATGTAGACCCACAGCAGGGGTGTGTGTGTGTGTGTGTGTGTGTGTGTGTGTGTGTG